GGTTTGCCGTTATGAGGGTATCGAGCTAAGAATTCTAGTTTAGTGATGTTCAATTTGTAAGACAGGGGTGCGGGTTGAGTTCTTAAACAGCGCCGTTCTGGCTAAAGCCATGGAATGCTTAAGCTTGAGGATTGTTGCGATGCGAAGTAAAGAAAACTTACATCTTCAGCTTCCAACTGCCTACCTGGCAATGAAGACATTATTAGAAAGTGTAAAGCTGATTATGAATAGTTGAAAAAACGATCAAAAGAGATGGTCGAAGATGAAGTTCACCAGACTGGTGCCATGATTTCCCCGCCTTTCAGGGGGTTGACGTCAAGCAAGCGAGGGAGCACTGGCACCAAGAGAAACCTCCCGCGACTTCCTCCACTCTTCTCTTCTCGTCATCAACAACCCCGCGATGTATATCCCATTTCTTGGTGACGGCAAGGCATCAATTACTCTCTCGCATTAGAACGGAGCCTGCCGCAATCCGAAGAGTTCATGCGTGCCCAGCCCTGACTTCTGGCCAGAAGTGCAAAAAGTGGCAACGTATTTTGATCAAAGCAGCAGGTGCCTTCTCCCTAGGCCAACCTCTTTCTAGAAGGACGGGGGACTGGGCTACATTACATGCAGTTGCTTCCGCATGACATCGATTGGAAAGAGCATTTCTTTCGAGAACCGGCTGTTCCTGATTCCAGATTGCAAGTGTTGATGAATCAGAAGCTCCCATTCGATTGCCGATCAGGGCCTAGGATTTAAGCATCCCTCCTAGCCTGCTCAAGATCCGGAGTCCTCTGCACCTGGATTCTATCTTCGGCCTATGAGAGGCTTGATGGCGCTGGAAGTGCCGCGGCCATCACTCATTGCCTTCTTCTTTTGAAATGTCCTCCGCCAACCAAGTGATGCACGCCTGCTGACAACGGCTTGCTAAAGACCAGTATCTGGTGGTATCTTGGACGATCATGGGCCTTGAAGTATAAAGTCAAGATCATTCCACAAGCATGGACTCCTTTCTTTTTATCGTACTGAGTACTCATCAAGTCAATTGTGGTTGGGCTTTATCTTTTTGCCATGGCCATTTTTACCTCCCAAGTCGTGGCAGCCTTCCTCCTAGCCTTACCACTCGCCCATGCGGGTTCACCGAAGACATGCTCAAATCCTCAATTGAGCTGTCAAAATACTACTGCCGTTTCTGATACCTGTTGTTTCAATGCACCAGGAGGGCAGTTACTTCAAACTCAGTTTTGGGATACATCTCCTTCAACTGGGCCTTCCAATTCATGGACGATTCATGGTCTTTGGCCCGATCATTGCGATGGCACGTATGACTCGAGTTGTGATCCGAGCAGAGCTTACACAAACATCACTGCCATTCTACAGTCGTACGGCAAGACGGATTTGCTTTCTTATATGGTGAGTCTCAATTTCTCGGAAGTATTAATTACCCCTCTCTGTTAGCTCCAGAGGCTGGAGCAATATCCAACAGCTTCTAGGACATTCTACTTCTAGTTCTTCCACAGCTGCTGGAACATTTAGTTTCAGAACTTTCGACAGAAGTATGCTGATTCCATTTTCTTGAGGCAGAATGAATTCTGGGTTGACATCAATGGCGATGACGAATCTTTCTGGGAACACGAGTGGGGGAAACACGGAACTTGTATTAGTACCTTAGCTCCCTCCTGCTACACCGGTTACACACCCCAAGAAGAGGTTCCAGATTTCTTCCAGAAGACTGTGGATCTTTTCAAGACTCTTGACAGTTACACTGTAAGCAACCACTGCTTTTTTAAACCTCCATACTCATCATTTCATCAGGCACTTGCAAGCGCGGGCATTGTTCCCTCAAGCTCCGCAACATACACTGCGGCTCAAATCACAGCAGCACTTGAAAGTGCATTCGGCTACCCCGTAACCATCCAATGCAGTTCGGGTGCCTTGGATGAAATCTGGTACTCTTTTGATGTCCAGGGCTCTGTTCAAACCGGCACATTCGTCCCAACCCCACCAGTCGGACAAACTTCGAGTTGCTCCTCCACAGGAATCAAATATCTGCCCAAATCTGGAAGCCCTGTCTCGACTTCCGTACCCTCGTCAACCCACACAACCTTATCTACAAGTACAAAAACAACTTCTAGCGCCAGTTCGAGTCCTACAGGAGGAAGCGGGACGTTCTCTGGATCAGGATACCTAAATGCCATCACGAGTGGAAGTCAGACTGGATGCTTGATCAGTGCTGGGACTTGGTACACATCTGGTACTTGCGCAACATACACTGCAACGGCTTCTGGTGACGTCTCTTCAGCTATTCATATGAAGAATGAATCCTAACATATTTTTGATATAGGTTCTGGATTCACCCTGAAATCTTCGAAAGGGTCATGTGGTATCTCAAGCTCGAAATTCACTTGTGGGTCCAGCGTAACTGCTACTGTCTTCACTGTAAGTTTTCTATTCTCGTTATTGGATTCTGTATTAATCTATGTATAGGCTAGCGGAGGGTATCTATCATATGGTGGAAGTACGATGTTCTACGCAGCTGCGGTGCCCAGTGGCTCAACCCAGGAGGCCATTTCCACAACTTCGAATAGTGTGAGTGTCAGTTTTGAGTGGCAAAGCAAGTGAACTTTTGGAATTTTCTTGTTTATATGGGTTTATTCTGTCATTTTCCGGCTTCCATATCTACATTTATGTCAGCAAACTAGATTTTTTTTCGCAACCGCTCAAAATCACGTGACAAAACTTTCCATTCGATTTGTGTTGGAATCTGTGATGCAGTGTACGCTGTACAGCTGTGGCTTGTATACTGGATGTATATATAGAGGTTTCATCCCACTGTTACTTCAAATCAAGTCGTCAACCTCCATCCAAAGTGCAACAATTTGAATTCGAACCTTTTCTGTCGTCATGAACCACTCACAACCTTTTTGATCAGTCAACCTATAAGTACTCAATACCCTAGCTATTGATGTTAGTTGAGCGAGGGCTCTATAAAACTTCAGAATGAAGGAAGATTTTATTTTCTGGTGCGAATTCCTATCTGGACTGGCCACGTGGGAGACTAGCCCCCAAAGTTCGAAGCATGGAAGTTTCTCTAATTCGGCCTTGGGGCCTGTATTAGATACTCGCTTCCGAGGTTCTTACATATGATAATGCTTCACTAGAAATTAGGGCAGGTGGTGTTATTTATGATTTTTAGGGCGAATACTCGGGCGAGGCCTCGGAGGGCCTTGTGGTACGAAGTCAAAGGGAATGGCAAATATTCAGGATGTGAGAGAGTCTCCTGTGGGGAGTGGAGCCTATATCAAGGCTCTGGCACAATTACAAGAGATGAGAGCTTCTAATAGCGGCTTCTTTTGATATTTCGTTGCACATTTACGTCTAGAGGGGTAATGAGTGATAAAGCTCTTTACTGGCTCATGAAAGCTATTGGTTCGGTTTTGTTTCACATCTACATTGAAAGAGATAGCATTAAAGCCGCTCTCTATCATTTATTTCGTTGCACATCTGCGTTTAAAGGGGTTGTATATACTGGCTAATCTATGGCTAAACTAAGCCTCAACTACTCATCTCCAGGATTTCGTTGCACATCTGCGTTTAGAGGGGTAGTGTTTAAAGCTCTTTACCAGCCAATAGCGGCGCAGTGTTCAGTTTCGTTGCACATCTGCATTTAGAGGGGCAATGATAAAGCTCCACCAGTGGGTGTCAGAATTTGTGACGCAATACTGGCTTTTTCTTAGGGAACAGCGTCACTAGCGAACTGAAAGGGAAGTAGTAAGGTGGCCGATCGGGCTCGACTTGTGAGTGTGAGTCGTCGGAACACTAATTTAGTCCATGGGAGGGTGGCTTTGGCATTGCATTGCAGACTGAGAAACTCAAACCAGTTGGATGGTATGTAGTATTACGGTAATTTCAATATGAACTGGTACCTGCGCATATAAGCAATTGTAATCTCTTCGCCTCAAGAATAAATTCCTGCTCTCAAACCACATCAAAATTAATTTCAAAACTTGGAAGCTTCCAATACCTGGCTCACCCACAATCCTTCACCAATACAACAAGTTCACCTTTCCCAGCCACGAGAATTTAACAAACATGGGATATTCCTTCGCAATCAACATTTCCGGAGGCTCTCTCGCAGTTGCTGCTATATTTATACCAGTACTTTGGCACAGGTTCTTCCGACCATCACTCCGAAGACTCATCCTTGAGCTCAAAGCCGACTCTTACAACCTAGGTCTACGAGACGGCGAAGAGCGTGAAAGACAGAAAAAATACAGAAGCAAGCGAGGGATGATCACCTCACCTTAGATGCACGTTCTATGAAAATTGACGTACTCTGCGGAAACATCACGGAATTCGTGGAAGGGACGAGGACTCTGCTGGAGTGCATTAAGGAAGAGGAGGACGAGGAGGAGGGTCATGATGATACTCACATCCATCGCAGTGTCTACTCTGGCGGCCTTGATAGACGAGTCTTTTTCTCAGAAGACATTGCCGTTAATGGTGACTTGGAAAGATATGGGTTTACCACTCAATTGATGCGGAGGCAAAGAGATGACGAGCTCGGAGTCGGAGGTCAAAGAAGGGGTGGTGCTCCTTTCCCGGAGACTGGAGTCCGGCCGTTCTTGGAAACTCCAGATTGAAATAGAATGTATAAAAGTCGAACTTACCCCTAAGACAGTGAGGATGGACGAAAGAAGGCTTTTGTGGCCTAGTATGTAGTCATTGTCCTCCTAGGTGTTTGAACATTGTAATCCAAGTCTTCTTTACCAGAATATGATTTTTGTCTCTATGAACACTAGAACAGTACGCTGGCAATAGTGAATGTTCCATCACAAAAAGTACAATAGAACACAAGTGTAAGATATGCACTTGTCCTGCCTGGTATGTGAATGTCAAGACTTCTCAAGACCTCTATTCATCGCGGCACATTTCGAACATTATCCCGGCTTTGCCCGACGCCAATGTCAGCCGTATCGACTGAAATAATGCCTTCGTCGTCAATGCAATAACTCCAAGGTCAAATAGCGCAATGGTAGCGCGACTCCCCATTATGCCAACCTTGTTAACCTGTCAGGAGGTCGTGTCCCTGATTTCTCCTTAGGCTAGCCCGAAGGAAATTTTGGAGGTTAATGAGGGGAAGTACTGGTAGGAGGAGGTTGCAGGTTCGACTCCTGCTTTGACCACTGTTCATTTTTTGGTACTTCTTTTTGGGCAAGGAACACCAGACGACTCCTTTCGCACATTCCTCTTCCCTCACTCGAGCTAAGCGATAGGGTCCCTAGGGGAAAGTATGATCCGGCCAGGTGCACATCTTGTCTGTGTATGCCATTTGCATGTATCAAATGAGGTTCAAAGGGTCTTCCTGTGCCTGGCACAGCATGGTGTACAGTACATAGGTTCGCTGGCTGTATGAAAGGTATTCGGATTAGACATGAGGAGCAGAACAGAGCAAGAATAATGCACAAGCATTAAGTGACTCAAATTGAAACATTTCGGCGCCCTTTGGCAAGACACTTGACCTGACAGGATCTGGAAATTCTTGTAGAACTGGATGTCCATTCGTGTAGTGCTGTACTAGCGGATGATGGACCCTCTATGGTATCTCTCGCCTCCATATCTACCTCTGGCCTGTAGATTTCCAATAGTAGAGGTTTCAAAGGTCCTCTTTTTCAGCTTCTCCACTGTTATTGTCGTACATGTATAATACATTTCCTCAACGCCATGTCTATTGTACACTTTCTATCCGGGCTGCTGAAACGTCAATTGGAGTCAGATCAACAAAAATAGAACGCGTACCTTCTGAAATCATATGTTAATCGTTCCCATTCTCCGCCTTCCATCTCGCAAGATATGCTTCTCCACTCAGAGCTCCTTTAGGATCGCCCTCAAATCGTCCCTTGATTGGCTTGATTTTCCTCGTAACGAACGGCGTAAGCTATTAACCACCCATCAGCACTTTCCTATAGCCTCGTCTGCTCCTGGGTAATATACCTTGAAATCCTTCAGGTCCTTTGGCACAACATATGTCCTGACCTTCTCCCACTCAATAATATACCCTCCATGCTTCGTATGTCGTCCCGTCGATCCGGTACCCGTCCCCTTGTAAAAACCTTTATTTGTCTGCTTGGTGGTCAGGGCGAGCCGAGTTACCCTCTTATAAAGGGGTGAAGTAGCCTTCATGATTGCTGTTCAACTGTGGATGATTCGTCGTAAGTTCTTGTGAAGTCGAGGTCGAGCAAAGAATGGCTGAAGAGACGCTAGCGGCCGCATCACCAAAAAGTTTATCGACCTGAATTTTTCGATAAGGAAAGCACGACTAAATTTCCCAGCGCACCTCGAGATCCATTGGAAATCAAAGATATGCCTGGAAGACAATCACATGGCGGGCCGCCGTCCAAGAAGCCCAAGGTGAAGAATAATTCGAAGAAACGAGCTTTGGACGCCTTCTCGATCGCCTCGCACACGAATCCCGATAATATCAAAATCCGAAAGCATCGCTTGGGCGTACAAGAGGGAGGAAATAGGCCTTCAAAACGTCGAAGAGATGAAGACGACGAGGAAGATGAGGAGGAGGAAGAGGTATCATCTTCGAAAAAGCAGAAAAAGGGACCCACGAAGGGCCGATTCGATGAACTGGATATAGATGAAGGGAGTGACAGTGAGGGGAACGAGTGGAAGCTCGGGCAGGTCGATAGCGACGATGATAGCGACTTGGATAGTGACGAGGCTTTTGGCGAGAGCGATGAGGAACGTTTCAACGGGTATGCTTTCTCCGGAAGCTCGAACAAGAAGGAGAAGAAGAAAAGTGCACGGGTTAAGGATGTGAATCTTGACGAGGAAGATGAGGAGGACTCGGATTCTGAATTGGAGGAAGGCGATTTAGGAGAAGATGCTGTAGATCTTGCTACGATGTTGGATATGGCCGAGGAAGAAGAAAGGGAGGAGACAGCAGCTAGTAAGCAAGAGCATAGGGATCAAGATGCTTCAGCTTCTGCCGAGGATGAGGAGGGAGATAGTGAGGAGAGCGACGAGGAGTCCTCGATATCATCTGCAGATGAAGACGACGAGACTGCCGATCCAGAAAAGATTGCAGCCCTTCAGGATCTTATTGGGGATTACTCACAGGCCGATGCAACGACTCGAGGTCATGGAAAGCAACGGAGTGATGGTGCCAGCGAATACGATAGACCTCGGGATTCTGGACTCAAATCTACGAAGAAGATTACATTGGAAGATCTCGCGTTACCCACAAATGACGACAAATACATCAAAAATTCATTGAAGCTTCTGGGAGAAAATTCTAAAGGATCAAGCAAGAAGTCTACTCAAAAACTAGAAGTTCCTCTTGCGAAGCGCCAACAGGATCGACTGGACCGAGGCGCTGCTTACGACAAGAGTAAAGAGACATTGAATAGATGGACAGACACTGTTGCGCACAACCGGCGCGCCGATCACCTTATTTTCCCACTTCCAGACAATGACCTCGCCTCCGCACATTCTAACAAGCAACTTGTGCCAACGAATCTTACCAAGCCGTTCAACGAGCTCGAGGCTACAATCCAGAGCATCCTTGAGGAAAGTGGGCTAGCAACAGCTGACGGGAAAGATGACGAAGATCACATTCGAGAATTTGAAGAATTGGAGGCGAACAAGCTTTCAGTATCAGAAGTCAAAGCACGACGAGAACAACTACGTATGGCACGAGAGCTACTATTTCGGGAGGAGGCAAAGGCAAAGCGTATCAAGAAGATCAAGAGCAAATCGTACCGCAAAGTTCACCGGAAGCAGCGTGAAAAGGAGGAGCGTCAAAATCGTGAGGCTCTGGAAGAAGGCGGGTATGTCCCATCTGAAGACGAATTGGAAGCGCAAGACCGGAGACGTGCAGAGGAGCGCATGGGTGCGAGGCACCGAGGGAGTAAATGGGCTAAGGCCATGAAAGAATCCGGTCAATCAGCTTGGAATGAGGATGCAAGGTCTGGAGTTAGTGAGATGGCTAGAAGAGACGAAGAGCTCAGGAAGAGAATTGAGGGCCGAGCTGTGCGAAAGGAATTTGAGAATGAATCTGAAGATTCGCCTAGCGATTCCTATGATGATATGAGTGAAGAGGACGAAGCTGCTGAGCAGAAACGCCTTCTACGAAAACTAGAAAGGGTTGGCGAGACACCACTTATAGACGAATCTCTACCTGGAGCGAAACTGGCCAATATGGATTTCATGCGCAAGGCAGATACGAACCGCAAGAAGCAAAACGACGCCATTGTGGAAGAGATGAGGCGTGAACTTGCTGGAGAGGAATCTCCCAGTGATGAAGAGTCTGATGGAGATATTGGTCGAAGGGCCTTTGGACCCGGGAGCAATGCACCCCAGGAGAAGAACTCAAAGCCCAAAAATGCTAGCGAATTTGAAGAACCAGCTGGGTCTGAAGACGATGAAGCTGGTGATGAAATTCAACGCAACGCAGTTGGCAACGGTCAAAAAGGCGCAGTAAAGCCAATACGGAGCACGAATTCTGATCGATCTTCAAGACTTGAGGCGTCTTCAATAGCCAACAACCAACCAACATCCAATTCAGAAGGAGGGGCATGGTCAAAGGTTATTTCAAAATCAACTGCGATTAGTGATGCAGAAGCCAAAAGAAGGCGACACAAGAAAAACGACGCAATCGATGCTGAGGAGCTGGATTTGTCAAAAGCCGCTGTCATAGTTTCACAACCGAAATCACGAAAGCCATCGAGGAAATCCATCACTCTTGACGTCGATTCCGATTCTGAGGAAAGCAATGATGAAAACAGAATCCACTTACCCTATGCTATCAAGGACCAGGAGCTCATCAAGCGAGCATTTGCAGGTGCTGATGTCGTTGGCGACTTCGAGGCTGAAAAGAAGCAGACTGTCGAAGATGAGGATGAGAAAGTCATTGACAACACACTTCCTGGCTGGGGAAGCTGGGTTGGTGATGGTGTGAGCAAAAGACAAAAGGTGAAAAACAAGGGAAGGTTTCTCACAAAGTCCGAGGGCATCAAAGCACAGAACAGGAAAGATGCAAAGCTTGAACGGGTGATCATTAATGAGAAACGCATCAAGAAGGTATGCACCCTCCATCATTTCTAGGAGATCGCACTCACTAACTGAAAATCCACAGAACGGAAAATATCTTGCCTCAAGTCTTCCTCATCCTTTCGAAACGAAGCAGCAGTATGAGAGGTCATTGCGGCTCCCTCTCGGACCCGAGTGGACTACCAAAGAAACCTTCCAGGATGCGACGAAGCCCCGGATTTTGCTCAAGCAAGGCATCATTACTCCGATGTCGAAACCCTTGCTATGATAGCATGAGAAGGTTTCTAGAAAGCAATATATTAAACGTGCAATTACAATGATCACCACCCATCTTCCTCGTGAAACACTCCGCCTACTTAACCAATGTCCGAACCAACAGCGCCCTGAATTTTACCGATGCAAATAGCTTCATGCCATCTCCACTTACCCAATTCCTATCACAGAGTTCAACGTCACATCAAATGCCAAAAGGCGTCAAATTCAGACTGGAAAATAATTGCATTTTATTCCAATTTATCCAAAATCATTACAGTGAAGTGAGATATTCACAACCAAAATTTCCCAGATGCGAAATCACGCACCACCTCTAACTAACCAAAAATCCTTAACGCCGAAACCCAATGCATCAATTTATATTAGGGTGAAAAGAAAGTCCGTCTATCCATCAAAAGCCATGTTTATCGTTTCGTTTCGTTTGCGTTCAAATGCGGGGGTGATGAGAAGTATATCGTTCGAGGGGTTTCCCGAGGACGTAAGCGAGCGAAAAGGGGTTAAGGCGCGCCTCCGAGACCTGGGTGTCATGGATTAGCATTCTTGCCATCAAAGACCAAAAGTGAGGAAGGAAGAAGGGGAGGAGAGACTTGCCGGCAGCAAATGCCAGATACCACGTCCTACTTGCGCCTCCATCAAGCCAACTCGCATCAAAAGTCGACGAAGCAAAGAAGTTCCACGCAGCACTCGGATTAACGATCGCGTAATTTGCATACAGAACTCCTCTCCAGCCACCAGCCACAGTATCGGCTCGTCCGTTCGAGAAATACGTATCCCATTCCTGCTGCACGAACGTCGGGGTGCGAGTCAATGTGGAGGCAGGAAGGAGAGGCAGCATGTGGATGCCTTGGATGTA